GGGGGGGGGTCGGCGGCCGACGCAGGGCCCCGGCGGCAAGGGGCTGAGCAGAAGTGGGGCCGAGCTCGCTGGGGGCTCGGCCGTGGGTGCGAGGGGGCCCGTGAGGCTGCAGCCCTCAGTAACCGGGTGCGCTGCTGCCCGCCGGCGCAGCCTTGCGTCTTGCCCAGGGTAGAGGGACCCCTGCATGTCTGTTACCCCCTCCCAAAATCCGCCGCCTGCTGCTCCCTGGGGGGTTCCCAGCGAATGTGACACTATCATGCACAGCCAGATGAAAACTTTGGTGCAGTGCTTGCCAGATTAGGGTTTCTTATCTGCACACCTCAGGGGCAGTTTGTAGGAGTTAGTTCAGGCTTAGGGTAAAAAAGTTGAAACGTGCATGGACCCCAGAGCCCCTTTCTCATTCAGGATGCAACAAAATCACCAGCTCCCCTGACTTCTGCTGCATCTCTTGAGCAACAGGCGTCAGGTGGAGATGCAGGGGAAAAAGAAGTCGGTGAAGACCTATTGCCTGAACATTTGCTTTTAAGTATGTTTTGCACCCTGCGCCAATTTGTGCACTTAGTGCTGGGGGCATCTGGAAGTAGGGTGACACTTCATATGCAAAGGCAACCTTGGAGGAGCTGCCCCCTCTGCCCCATGTGCTCGATCCTGTTCCTGTGGCTTACCAAATCCCCCTTGCTCTGTCCAGCCAATATCATGTCTGTGTGTCCTTGCTGAAAATTAGATTACTGAAAAAAGTAGCGGAGTCCTTCACCCAAAAGATAGCCCTTCACCCAAAGGACTTCATGGTGGATTTATTCCTCAAAGGATTAAAGAAGATCTCATGGTAGTGTGACTTAGTGTCATTTTCCTTCTTCATTTTTTGAAGCTGTATTAATTTTTGTTTTTTGAGCTCTCGGCTCAGTGTCCTGTTTTGGCAGCACAGCACAGGGGGCATGTGCTTGTACAAAATTAATTGAACTTTGAGTAATTTAAAATGTTTCCCACTGGTTCCATTGATTTAATCTGGTCTATTGGAAAGATAGATGTTAGTCATGAAATTCCAATCCCGGTCTTGAGCTCTTCCAAAAATATTGGCAGGTTAGGATTTGGAGTACAGGTCAACTGTTCAGTCTGGGGATAAATTTGTTTTCAGCATCAACATATAACTGCAAAGAGATTTCAGATTCCTTCTTTTCAGAGGGAAAGTTATAAAATACCTAGAGGAAAAAAATGAAAAAACATCCTCTGCACCTCAAGAAATACGCAGTGGCACATGCTATGAGACACTCACTGTTAAGGAGGAATCTCACCAGGCTTTCACCTGCTCGCGAGGGGAGCAGCCGAGGGGTGGCCTGGCAGGCGCGGGAGTGGGCTGGGTGCCAGACGGCCACGGGGATTTTCGGGGGTGTGTTGGGACATGCTGGTGCAGGGGTGCGTAGGGCACAGTGGGACGTGTGGGGTGGGCGCCAGTTCCTGCGCTTGGGGCCAGGAGGGGAAACCAGCCGGGGGCTCCGCTCCCAGAGCGCCAGTCACACCAAGCCCTGACTTCGAGCAATAACTCTATTAGCTATATTATTAATTAGTAGCTCGTCAATGTTGATTAGCTGGCTAGTGTAGCTCCTACTTTACTTTAGATACTGGAATTTCTCAGCTCAGGGCCCCAGCAGCATGCACAGCCCCAGGGCTCAGCACCTCTGAGTGCCCCCGGCACGCGCCCGCCTCTCCGTACCCGAAATGGCAACGGGGAGTACAAAAAAAAAAGTGCAAGCCTTTGGCAGTGGGTTTCCGTCAGGCGGGAGCAGACGGGGCACCCCGTGCCCTACTCTTTCACAGCGATGTTGATTTGGCCGCTAACTCAGCGTAGCTTCACAGCAAATCCAGGCTGCGGTGTCAGTTGTGAGACTGCTCGCCTCGGCGTAGTCATGACGCATGTTCCTAGCAA